GATTAGAATATAGTTATATTAATCATAGTGGCATGTTGAATTCATGTGGTTCCTTTAAAATAATTTCACAATCTGTAATAATGTTTCTTTCCAAAACACATCATTTCAAATGGATGGAAGTGTACACCTATACCACTTTGGCTTCATCTGATTTTATTAGGCATTCTTCACATACATCATAGCATGAAAATGGAACAACTTTAAAACATGGTTAGCATATATCACTGAACCTGTGACTTGAGACTAGCTCTTTCTAATGGACTAAACAGAGCAGGCTCCTCCCATCCCTTCACATAAGGATGGAAATAGATCCTGTTTCTGAAACATCATATCTTTAGAATACCTGATGATGGACATATGGACAATGTTCAAAAACTCAGTAATCCCAAAATATTCTTGAGAACTTGTGACACAGCCAAAGCCTTTGACTGCGTTAATCATGATCTTCTATTAATGAAACTACAGCACTATGGAGTGCAGGGTGTATTATTGCAATGGTTCAAATCTTACCTCCAATATAGGAGGCAAAGAGTGGAATTAAATTATATAAATAATAAATATTATTCTAACTGGGAAATTGTTGAATGTGGTGTGCCTCAGGGTTCAGTGTTGGGACCCTAACTCTTTAATATATACATAAACGATTTCCCCCTTGAAATAAGTAAAATTTCTGAAATTATTATGTTTGCAGATGACACAAGTATTCTTTGCACAGCTAAAGACTACTATAATTTAAAAATTAAATTGGATGCTGTTTTTAATAACATGTTTACATGGTTTCAAAATAATCAATTAGTGTTAAATTTGGATAGAATAAAAATGATAAAATTCACCCCAACAGCAGCTACGAGCTACTCTCTATATGCATTGTTTTTCAACAGAAAGCTGAAAGAAGTAGAAACAATAAAATTTCTTGGTTTGCAGCTGGACAATCATTCGACTTGTATGGAACATATCGATTTTTTGCTTCACAAGTTGAGCACAGTTGGTTTTCTAATGTGAAAATTATCCTATATACTAAATATAAATAGACTTAAAGCTGTATATTATGCATATTAACAATCATTGGTGAAATAAGGAATAATATACTGGGGAAATACATCAGAGTCATAAGGTCTTTGTTATACAAAAGAAAATAATAAGAATAATGATGGGAGTGGGCCCAACTCATACATGTAGAGATCTATTTAAAAAGCTTGACATACCACCAATCCCATGTGTATATTTGCTTCCATTGATGACATTTGTTGTTAATAATCTGGATAAGTTTCAAACCAATAACTCTGTATATGTGATTGGTACCAGAAAGAATGACCACCTTCACATACCTTCAACACATTTATCATCCTATCAGAGAGGGGTGTATTATTCAGGCATCAAGCTATTTAATACTCTGCCATCAAATATCACAGTTTTCAAAAATGATAAAAAGCAATTTAGGTTTGTTTTACAAACTTATTTGCAAAGTAACGTATTTCACTCTATTGATGAATTTGTCGAACATGCAAGGGGCTCAAAAGTTAAGAGTTAATAAATGGTCTGTGTGCGTGAATTATATATTGTTGAGACTTGCTTGTTGTAAGTGTAGTAGTATGTATGATGTCTGTTTTGTTAAGAATTTTAATATTTTATAGTTGTAACTGTTTTAATGATATGGCTTGCCAGTGTGTGTGTGGAATGGCAAGGCATGAATTTTACTGTGGTTTCTCCACAACCCATGTGTGTTGTCCTGACAACTTGAGCTATCTGTGAGAGGCCTGATTATATTTTTATTGGACAAAGGATGAATGATGTGTAGTAATCATGAATTTGTAATATGTGACATGTTTTATATCCAGCCCTATGGGGAGATGATTGGATCCATGAAGTGAAAATAAATGTAAATGTAAACCCCTCCCATATTGTTCATGATCCACAGTTTGAGAAACCATACTGTGATTACAAGCCTGAAGGAATGGTGGGAGCTTCATTTTAAGGAAATGCTGTGGCTTGGTTCCTTATATGAGTTCACTGATAAATGGCCTGTTAATTGCTTTCTTCCCTATTTCTCTTCCTTCCTAACATCACCCTGCCACATACTTCCTTCTCCTTCCACTAATGTTCCTCCCTTTCTTCTCTCCCACCTTCTTCCTCTCATGTTTCTTCCTTCTTTCAGGACCACTGGCCCCCACTAGTTCATTCATTCATTCATTCATTTATTGTATATTCCATAAATCCATATACATAGATATAGAACCAGTCACATAATTAATATAGTACAATACAAATATAAATATATATGTACAGTTTATAATCATTAAAATAGATAAAAAGAACATGTGTTAAATTTATATCAAAAAAAGTCTATACATCACTATACATAAAATTATGCAATATTAAAATTGTTTATGCTATTATCCTTATTTCTAGGCAAATTTGTTACTAAAGAATTCATCACATGTATAAAAAGAGTTTTGCAATAAAAATGTTGTCAACTGAATTTTAAAATTTTTCAAGTCATTAGACATAGATTTGATTTTTGGTGGCAAATGATTAAAGATCTTTACCCCCATGTAACATATTCCTTTTTGGAATTGTGTCAGACTAGTTTGCGGATAATGCAGATCACAGATAGATCTGGTACTACAATTATGCATTTGTGAGTTGAATGTGAACAATTCCTTATTTACTATGACAAACAGAGAGATCGACAATATATATTGAGCTTGTAGGGGGAGGATATCCAATTCTTGAAACAAACTACGACACGATGTTCTCTTTGTTGTATTTGTTATAATCCTAATTATCCTTTTCTGCATCCTAAGCACTTTTATACTATGCGGGGAGTTACCTCAGAATATTAATCCATACGTTATTATAGAACGTACATAGGAAAAATACATCATTTTTAATGTCTCCAGTGGTAAAAAGGATTTAACTGATCGGATTGCAAAACAGGATCTGTTTAACTTATCAATTACTGCATCAATATGACTTTCCCACATACATAGCACCATCTCAACATTCTCTTCACTCAACTGCATGCTGCTTCACCATTTGGTCCACTTCTTGTACCCTGAAGATGGTTCACCCAAAATGTTTGTATGTACCTATCAGACTACATAGCATCATATCCCAAAAGACCAAACCTTAATCCACACTTCCTACAAAAGGCAATAAATCTGAGTTATAGTTTGTGTTCATATTCTACATCTTAGCCTTTAGACAGGAATCTGGGCAACATTCGGTAATTCCAAACACAGTACTAAAATGATGTCCTATAACCATGTCAGGGATTGAACTCTGACTACCAAGTTCACAGCCCTTAGAAACTGTGCTAACCCTTCTCAATCCAATTAAATTAATTAAACCACACACAAATAAATTACCAGTGGAAAATTATGTGGTACTTTCTTTCTCATGTCCACAAAATAATAGAGTGGTCCCACACTACAAACTTCCCAAATATAATACACGTAAATCAGATACACTAACATCCTGTGTCTAGGGACCAGTGCTTATTGTGAAAGAATAGCATAAATTGAAACAGACATCTGTTTCACTAATAACATTAGGTTACATTATATTAATCATGTCAGCATTTCCTTTAATCATCTCAATTAATAGTTATGGCCAAAGCTTGAAGACTGAACCACAGCTCAAGTGGTTAGTTGCTGGCTTCCCACAGCGGTGGCCCGGGTTCGATCTCCAGTTCTGTTCAAGTGGGATTTGTGGTGGACAAAGTGGCGCTGGGGCGGGTTTTCTCCGAGTACTTCGGTTTCCCTTGCCAATCTTCATTCCACCAAATTCTCCATCATCATAAACACCCGGGGCAGGCTACAATAAACCAAACAGTGGCCGCCGTGCCGAGTGCACCCAGTTGGACTCCACCCCCCTACTAAGCGAATTAAAAATTATGGCCAAAGCTTAAATGTCCATTAGATGATGTGGTGAATCAACACCTTATTTTATAGTTTCACCATGCTTACTTACCTTGCACAACTTCTCTTTTTCAAGAAAGTCTGCCATTGAAGACGATATGTCAGGGGAAGCAGTAGCAGGAACCTTCGCTACGTTTATATCCTTAATCGTTTGTGACACGGTAGCATAACCTCCCTCCAACCGAGTGCCATCACTAACAACTCCACTGAAGAACCTTCTATTGCTGGCAACTTCTGTGGGCGTTTTTTCAATCTGAGGCCTTTCTTTCATCCACCAAAACTTTCTTCGTTTTGGGAGAGTTTCTTTCACATCGTGTCTTGAGCTTGGATTGGAATCGGGTGACTCGCCGGTTGACAGTGGCTTTAAAAACAAACATAATAATAATTTCATGTTAACCCATGCTCGCATTTATACAAAACAATCGCAGCAGGAAGTTATGAAGGATCCGTCTTATTAGTTTACTACTATGAAACTATAACACTAAGCAATATTTATCTGCATACTAACCTCTTTCATAAATTCCTCAAACTCTAAATCTATATTCGCCATTATGATGGATTCTTGCTATTACTAGAAAATAACACTAGGCTACCAATACAACATAATGTAACGAAAATAACTTGTGCAGTACACTGAAAAGACAGTATTGAAATTTCCGACATTTAAAACCTAGTCTTTAAGAAAACGGAAATGGAATGTAAGCGCCTTCTACTCGCTTACGTTTGGTGCGTTAGCTTAACAGTTGATTCATGCTGCAGTCTGTTGACGCTGTTGACGGAATTCAATTTGCATTCAGTCACTTCAGTCATTTTCGTTCGGGTACACAGATATAGTTTCTCTTCAACTTTGTACCCCAAAACTTGTTGGTGTATAATCCAAGTTATACACAGTATATAATATATGATGTATTAAATAAAAAGTTTCAAATGAGAAAAGGGAGAATCAAGCTACTAAGTAACAAATTTATTATTGCTTATCACATAAAATGAACAAAGGTATTTTAGCAAAAATTGGAAATTGCTTACTCATCATNGTGGGGTTTTCGGCTTTTAAAAAAAGACTTAAAATCATTTTGTATTGAAACATTCTTTTTATACGATAAATGAATTTGTTAGTTTTAATAAAAAAGTGGATGGTGCAACTACTTATGTCTGGATGCCATAGCCATTCATGAGCTGTATATAGTAGTTTGTATATTTTTTGGAATGTTGTATTTATATATTGCTTATGATTGTAACAAATGTTGGTAGTATGCTTCTAACGTAGTAGATTTATTTTGTTAACTTGTATTACCGAATGACGTGTCCAAATGTTAGTTGTAGATTTATTTTGTTAACTTGTATTACCGAATGACGTGTCCAAATGTTACTATGTAGCAAAATGGATGAAATAAAATACAATAAAATACAATGTGATTCTGACCTGTTAATGAGATGACTGAGCTTGTTTCTGGCACGCCATCATCTCAACGAATTTTTATTTTACGTACCGTGTATGATGTCTTTTCATACTCCGAGGGGTATGTGTACACCAGGTTGAATACCACTGAATTAGTTGACAGCAAAATTTCTGTCTATAACCATTTGTTGGTCGATTGAATAATTCAGTCTGTTTCATGGCTTTTACAGATGCAATAGGATACTACTGATAAATGTTGGGCAACTTATGAATTCAATATGCGTGGCAGGCAGCATCCGTAATCAAATTTAAAACAATATTCCAGCATTTGCTGTAAGGGTTAAAGGGAAACAGTTAATATACTGCATTACATTTATTTGGTATAATCTTGTTATTTTGCTTATAAATAATATTTTTCTAATATATTTATCTTCCTATTGCAGTACTGCAATAATAATTCTATTCAATTCTATTCAATTCTTTATTATTTATGTGCCAAGTCAACAGCCGCAAGGCCAATTACAGACTTAGCACAGTGTAGATGAAACAGCTTCCGTGTAACATTACACAAACATTATTAAAACACATTATAAGTCAAAAATAAATTACAGGCAATTTCTTGG